AGGGAGGGAGGGAGGGAGGGAGGGGAAGCCAGTGCAGGTTCTACAAAGTACAGGCCCAAGCCTGGCTTTTCCCTTTCCCTCTCGGGGAAGGAGGCCCCCCCGCCGGTGGTGGCCCAGGGAGAGGGGAGGCCCACGCGGGTGCGAGGGCTGGCCGGCCGGGCCCACTTGCCTGCTCCTTGAGCTCGTCGATGGTCCTCTCCCCCTGCTTCAGCTCCTCCTGCAGCTTCTCCTTCTGCTGCCGGAAGGTCTCCAGCTCCAGGTTCTTCTTCTCCATGTGCTTCTGGAGCTTCACGTGCTCCTGCTTCTCCGAGGCGGACAAATCCCGCATCCTTCCCCGGGAAAAGGAGTGCTCAGAGGAACTCCCGGGAGGGGTCCAGGAGGCTGCCTGCCGCCCCCCCCCGGCGGATGTCCCGCCAGCCCCGCCGCTCCCCAGGGAGGCGGGGCGGAAGACCTGGGCTCCCCTACCTCACCAGGGCCTCCTTCAGCCGGGCATTCTGCTCCTCCAGCTGCTTGACGTGGTAACTGGAAGCGGCACCATCCGAGCCTAGGGGCGCAGAACGGCTCTTCAGGATGAACGAGGCAAACGACTCACGAGTCCACCGTGCTACGGGGGAAGCGGGGCTGGCCACCCCCCCTGCCCACCATCTGGGGCGCCCCCCCCAGCTCTCTTCCCGCCCTGGGAGCCCCGGCCTGGGCCAGTCAAGCCCCATCTGGATGCCCCTTGGAGAACCTCAGCAGGCTCCAAGCAACTTGGGTCAAAACTGCGGGGTATTGACTGATGGTTTCCCCCCTCATCAGGGGCCCAAAGTGGCTTTTTGCGCACACACGCACACGCACACACACACCCTGTACTTAATCCTCATAACAACCTCGCAAGGGCAGTAGAACACAGTTGGAGCCCAGGGGCACTTTGAAGACCAAAAAAGGTTCAGTTCTGGGTATAATTCAGGCACAGGTGCTGCTGCACACACCAGAGCTGATGCCCAGATTTAAACGTTGTGGGTCTTAAAGGTGCCTGACTAGACTCCAGCTGTGTTCTGCTGCTGCAGACCGACCCGGCTGCCCCCCTCCGAATCGATCTTGCGAGGGCAGGTGAGGCTGAGAGGCTCTGAGGGGCCCAAGGTCACCCGGCAGGCTCCTGCCTGGTCCTCCCACCTGGCCCTCCCAGGTGGTCGTCAGACATTCTAGCCCCTGCGCTGCACCGGCCAGCCCTCCACGCCTCCCGCCAGAGGAGACAGCCGCCGGCTTCCGCCAGCCGGAGCCGGGCCCCCTTCCGCTTCGCCCCCTTGGCCAGGAGAGAGCGAGACGTCCTCAGCCTAAGCCCCGCTGCTCCTCTCTGGCCCCTTCCTCCTTCCCTTGGCCCAGGGAGAGACGAGGCCCCTGTAGCCGGACGAGGCGCCAGCTGAGGAAGGGACACGCGGCTGCTCCCGACTCATTCATGAGGAGACCTCTCCCGGGCACGCTCTGAAGGCCAGGGTCTCACAAGAGTTGGCACACTGACCCACACCCCCGGAGCATTATGCCTCCTTACATGCACCCCCCCAACACACACACAGACAGACACACAGCCGGGGGGGGGGCTGCCGGCAGCCATGGCCTCTCCCTTCTCCTCGATCTCGTGCTTGAGGATCTCCAGGTCCATGGTGAGGTACTCCGCCTTCTCCTTCAGGGAGTCCACCTCCTGCTGCAGGGACTCGGCCCGCTCCTCAGCCATCTCCTTGTCCAGCGTGGCCATCTCGATGGCGTCCGCCGTGTCGGCCATCTCCTCCATGTAGCGCTCCTTGGCCTCCAGGGCCTCTTTGGCTTAAAAGGCGAAAGAAGAGATTCCCTCTGCCCCTGATTCTCGAAAGAGGAGTCGCCCGATGAAAGTGGTTGGCGGAAGATCCACTGGGCCAGGCTCTCTGGCTAGCAGGCCAGATCAGAACTGCCAAGAGGGTCCCTTTCTGGAAGGGCGAGGGACACTGGGGACGGTGGTCTCTCGTCCGCGGACTGCAGGGCAAACGAGAGCAATCCCCCTCGTGTTGACTGGGGGGGGGAGCCCTTTGCCGGGGGGACCCTCGACCGGAAGGCCCCCGCTCCCGGTGCCATGCCGCCTCCCACCTCACCTTCTTGGCCTCCTTCAGGCGCTTCTGGAGCTCGGCCTGCTGCTCCTGCATCTTGCTCTTCCACTCCTGGACCTGCTCCAGCTGGATCTTGTACTTCTCCAGCTCCTTCAGCTTGGCCTTGTCCTCGTTCCGCTTCATCTTCAGGGTCTCCAGCTTCTCCTCCAGGTCCCGCACTTGAACGCGCAAGTTCTCCTCCTCCTGCGGGCCAAAGGCGACTGGAGCCCTCAGGGCCGGCAGGCAGAACCCCGGGAGAAGCAGCAGCGCTTTGGTCTCCGGGACCGGCGGCTGGAAGCCCCAAACAGCCAACATTCCCTCCCCACCCCACCCTGCCTTGCCATGCCATTGCACCAGCTGCTGAAGGGTCAACGGGAACAGGTGACCGGCGCC